ATATATACAGGATTAATTCGATCAGTACTAGACCATGGAAACATTGTTTATAATTCAGCAGCAGATACAACTTTACAAAAGTTAGATCTTATTCAATATCAAGCGTTGAGACTGTGTACAGGTGCAATTAGAACTACCCCAACATCGTCACTACTGGTAGAAATGGGAAAAATACCACTCAAAATTAGAAGAGAACAACTAACACTAAATTACTGGGCTAATCTGAGAGGTCATGGACAGGATCATCCAACACAAGAGACAGTTAAACCTTGATGGGAAAAATAAGTAAAAGATATTAGAAGTTAGTTGGACTGTGAATCAGAAAACAACAGAACTCAAAATAGATCAGATCAATAAAAGTCAAACAACTCCATTACCAGTAAAACCACCTTGGATACTTCCAGATGCCATGGTAGATTTTACATTATTGGAAAAAAGAAATGAGGATAATGGGTTCATTTTAAATTCAAGTACGGTACAGAACCATATTGATACATATTACAGCTATGTTCAAATTTACACAGATGCTTCCAAGAACTTAGTAAATAAAGTCGGTGTAGCCTTCATTGTTCCAGAGTTCAACATCAAAGTTAGAAAAAGAAGTAACGATGGACTTTCAGTATACACAGAGGAAATGCTCACAATATTATTCAGTGGGTTGAAGAAACAAGACCACTGAGATCAGTGATTTGTTCAGACTCCAGTTCATCATTAGTCAGTTACCAGGGTAACCATTCAGAAAGCAGGCCAGATATTTTAATAGAAATTCAACAAACACTATACAGAATAAATATGATGGGTCTAATGGTACATTTTTTATGGATACCAGCTCATTGTGGTGTTACAGGAAATGAAATGGCAGATAAAGCTGCAAAGGAAGCCACTAGAAATCTATCAGTGGAGTTAGTAGTTAATTTTAGCAAAACAGAAATAAAACTTTTAATAAAACAGAAAATGAAGGATAAATGGCAAAAGATATGGGAGGAAGAAAAGAAAGGACGCTGGTTCTATAAAATCCAGAAGAAAACTGGAGACATGAGAAGTCCAGGGAGGACGAGGAGAGAAGAGACGATTATTTCTCGTCTCAGATTTGGGCGTACTGGATTAAACAGCTCTTTTTATTTTATGAAACACTGCACTGGTAAATGTGAGTACTGTGGAGCAGATGAGACAACATGTAATGTTACACTGCAAAACATATGAGGAAGAAAGACAACAGCTGATTCAAAATTTAAATAAAATTAAAGTAAAACTACATTTAATTGATTTATTCAGAAATAACTCGAATAGTAAAATTTATCAGATAATCTTTCATCTTAAATTAACACAGTTATTTAAAATAATTTAATCCTAGAGGGACATTTTGGTCCACACTCCTCACCAGTTGATGGCGGTAATGAAACAATTTCGTTGTTTGCCAATAAACCTCGAAGAAGAAGAAGAAGACGTCATCAACATGCGCCACAATCACGCCACACTCTGTCTGCGACCTTTATACAACTCCGTCTTGTATTTGTAATGTTACTAATGATGTGAGAGTTGTTTAGACGTGTTAGTGTTTGCTGAAGAAACCATAAAAATATGCTTCGAGTTTCCGTCTTCGTTTTCAACAGAGGAGCGGCTCAAAGGGTAAGAGCTTCTCAACAGCTGCGTCTCAGCACAACAGACTCGTGCTTGTTCCGGTCGCAGTGCTCATCATGTTTTTATTGGTAACGATAAGAGTGAAGTGTTGGTTGCAGCTGATAACTGTTCTATGATTTTTAACTCAACCATAAGAAGAGAGGCGCGTACGTCACAACAAGACTGGACCAGCAGCTCCATGAGGATCAGTTGAGTTCATGGAGACCGGATCTGTCCCAGATCAGCTCAAAGATTAGTGGTGAACAGATAACAATATGATCCATGATTACAAACTAGATGGGTGCAAGATGTTGAAAGCCCACAGCCAGGTGTTGAATAAACAGACTGAAGTTTGTTTTTGCAGACATGCCAGTTCCAGACAGCCCCTGGTTCACTCTGAGCTGGCTGACCTGCACAGGACAGACCAGCTGTGGCTGCAGACGGTCTGCTCCACACACCGGCTGCTTATCTCAGACCTCCAAAGATCTAAATGATCCTAAAAGATTCTGGAAAACCATCAAATCTCTCTCGGGCAGGTCCCAGTCATCTGACCTCCCATCACAACTTCTCGTTAACTCTGTTCCTGTGTCAGATAAGCACGAGACCCTGAACTGTTGCAACAAACGTTTCGTTGCTTCTAGTTCTTTATTCGACACAGTCACTAATGGAAACTGAGCCACTTCTCCTTTAATCCAAACATCTTCAAATCAAATCTCTCAGTCTTCAGTAAACCACGCCGTTTCATTTTCGTTGTAATTTCATTCAAAGAGGCGGCTGAGTGGTTAGAGCAGTCGTCCTCGAATGCAAGAGTTGGGTGTTCGACTCCACCTGCAGTCAAATTTTGACGTGTCCCTGGGCAAGACACTGAACCCCTCATAACCTCTGGTGTGTGTCCCATCAGTGTATGAACGTGATAAATCACTGATTAATCTCTTTAGAATGATTTGTTCAATTAGCTTTGTAGAGATAGAGTGCTCCATCTTCATTTTCCCCACTCTGGGTCCTTGAGCAAGGCACTCAACCCCCACCACCTGCTTCCTCGGGCACCCTAGACGGCAGCGCTCTGCTCCACACAGAGGCTGTGGTAGCTCGGTGGTCTGCGGTTGTGTCCGGAAGGACATCGGGAGTAAAAACTATCGCCAAGTCTTTGTGTGAGTTAGTTCAATGTGGCGACCCTGAAGAAGGAGCAGCTGAAAGAAGAAGAAGAAATTCAACTAAAAGTCAGAGCACCAAATCTCCTGACTGAACTTTTGATGTGTGAAATATGAAAACAGCTCAAAGTCTGCAGGAGGAGTTGCTCTGCACGTAATGTTGCGGTATATTTGAGTCGGCAGTCACACAGTAAAGGTGGTAACCAGAGGTTTGAGCTAAAACAACAAACACTAGTGACGACATGCAGCTGCGTCATTTATGAAACGTGTTTCATTCGTTACACAAATCTCTTTGTAGGTTTGCCACCAAGTTCTCAGCACTTGGAGTGAACGCTAACTTGATATATTTTGTGTTTGGTTGATGTTTGTTGATCTTCCTCAGTTTGCCTCATCGTTCTCCGGTGAGCGTGCTCTCCCTCCAAACTTACTCCTCCCCTCCAACCTGGTGGATCCTGCCAGAATAAGTGAGCCTGTCGGCGTCTGTGACATCTTTGTTCCTCTGAGCCTGTCAGCCGAATGGTTTTAAATGTTTTTGGACGTCTTCATGTCCTGCAGAGCGTCGTCCTCCCCCCGCTGACTGCTCCCTGCCTCTGCTGAGGACGTGTGATGCGGCGGTCCCGGTTCACCTGAGCCCGGTTCAGACGTGGGTGGACACTCTGCAGAAGGACCGCGAGCCGCTCGGTTTGACGGAGCTCCACCCAGACGTCTTTTCTGTGCCTCCGAGGAAAGTTGGATTGTTTCAGACTTGCGTTTGTAGCTTTTCATCTCGAGTGGATCATTCCAGCATCCAACATTAAGTCCGGTCATCTGGACGGGTTCTACAAAGATCCCGTCCAGATGACCGGACTTAACCTTGCTGGATTTATCCACCTGGATTATTGAACAGCATCAGGACTTCGTTCAAACAGTTTCAGGTTCAAACTGTCCATTGTCACTCCTCAGGCTCGATATTCTACACGCCGTTGAAGTATGGCAGAGAAACTACAAACGCATTGTAAGTTTCTCACTTTCATTTAAATAAATAATTTACTGTATTTATTTTCTACAATAGAAAGCGATGAAACTCTTAATTCTACTTGAAATATGCGACGTGTATGTCATGTCTTTAGAAAAGGTAGTAGTTATTTGACTAACAGTTCCCTTGGCGTCTCAGAGCCACGCCAACACAAAGGTGAGGTCTGAAGTGCGAGGCGGAGGCAGGAAACCATGGAAACAGAAAGGAACTGGGAGAGCTCGCCAGGGAAGCATCCGAGCGCCTCATTGGAGAGGAGGTGACTTTGACCCGTTTCTGCTCGTTGGTTTTATACAGATGGGAATTATTTTTTTGTCTCTTGCTCAAAGTACCGTGCTGCTCCTTGACACTGTGACCTGAGAGATAATCTCGGGATTATTGTTCCCGTTGTCTGATGTGTTGGGTTCACGTGTCTCTCAGGTGGAGTGTCTCACGGGCCGAGAGGACCGACCAGTTACTACTACATGTTACCCATGAAGGTTCGAGTGCAGGGACTCAAAGTGGCTCTGACTTCCAAGTTGGCGCAGGTAAACCTATTTATTTACCATCTACTCCAGATGTAGCCGCTAGCCATCCAGCTGTTGACAGCGTGAATAGAAAAGCTTGTGAGTCGTATGCAGGCTCTCAGAACAAAATACAACAACTACCGTACTTGCCGCCGTACACATCGCATCAGTCCAAACGTTTAATAAAGTGGGAAAAAGCATAAATACGTTGCATCTATTGCGCTTCACCGCTGACCACCTGGAAACATGGGCCGGTGTTGTGCCAAAAATTGACTGGCTGCCAAATGGCAAGCGCGGGAGCGTGCACGGGAGGACTTCAACAAGATTAACATTAAAAACAATTATTTGTTTGCTTTAGATTATAGCAAAGGTGGAACTTTTCTTTAATAAATGCACTTTAATGGTCAAATCATTTCTCCTGGCCGGCAAAATGCAGCTAGAATGCAGCGAGACCAAGGTGTCTCTGTATGGCAAGCCAAGTGTCTCACTAATAGCCACTTTTAACTATTAATGAGACACTTGGCCTGCCATATTAGTTGTGGGCCCCCCAGTGGCTGAAAATGGTAGAGTTCAATATTTTCAGTCAGAACTCATTCAACCTTTATTTATCCAGATTAATCCCACTGAGCCTCGGGGACTCATTTACAACAAACCTGATTTTAACAATTAATAAATTAATGAAGAATGAATAAAATCGTCAGCTCTCAGCCAAAAATTTGTTTATAAATATGGGAAAAAATCCATAAATAAGTCGCTTCACTGTACAAGTCGCAGGGCATGCTATTTTATGCAAAACAAATTGCAACTTACACAGTGAAAATTACAGCATGTGGAATCATTTTGTTTACGCAAAACATGGTTTTGAGCAAAACCTGTATTTTTATTTAGCTAGTTTTTTTTACAGTAGCACAAGAGTCCGTTTGGGAGGAGAAAACCCTGATTTTAATAAATGCACCAGAACTAATTTGTGTCTGTTTAATAAACACAGAATCCAACAAAGTAATAAAAATGTAAAAAGCTGACCACAAATCAACTAATGACAATTAAACACCGTTTTAGATTTTTTTTTAAAAGTTATTTAACAAAATAAAGTAATAAACTGTCTTTGACCTGAAGGATGGTACATTGAACTCGTTTGTTGCCCAACCTTTTGAGACAGTTGATGAAATCAAGTGATTTCTACCCGTGCACCTGCTCACAGGTATGTCGTCCTGCTCCTCATAAACTACGGGAGCCTCCTCCATGGAGGTAAACCTGCTTCTTTGTTTCATCCGGACCTTCTCCCAGAAGCTTTGTGGTTTCTCACTTCATTAGTCTGGATTTTTCTCACTTGTCTCTCATTAAGTCCACTTTGGCTCGAACAGTGGCCCATGGTGCACAAACATACCCTGACCTTGGAGTTCACCTCTAATCTCTTTGGAAATGGGAAGTTCTGTAGTTTCAGTTCATATTTTCTGTCTCTTTAATGTAATCAGTTTTCTTCTTGAGGACACATCTAAGGAGGTTGTCTTCATGTCATGGACCTGAAACTTCTGAAGAATCTGTGCAGCTGCAGGAACATCGAGCTGCTTGGACATGGTCTCATAGACTTTATCTTTAACATGCGGATCAAGTTTTCTTTCTAGAGCTCTGAGACAACTGTGTGGTCCATGTTCAGTGTTACACACCATGATACCAAACAGCACTGTGACTACGTTTCACCCTTTAAACAGGCACACTGACTGATTACACACTGAACACACCTGAGAGGCACATCACACTCACACACATACACACACATACACACACACACGTCAGTTTTACATGTCCCAGTGCTCAAATTATTTTTTATCTTTAGCGGCATCATATTTTTAGTCAAGGCAAGTGTTGTTAGTTTTTTTTTATTTATTAAAATTTTTAAATATATATAAATCAGAACTGAAATTCAAATGTAATGAAGTTAGTTCAATGTTTCATTAGTTGATTTTTAGATTAAAAATGATTTTTCTGTTTCAAGTTATTTCAATTCCTTTGCTTTTGTAATAAAATGGTCGTCGCGTCACAGCAGCATGTCTGTGCTGTCGTTGACCTGACGGCTCTGCAGATGTTTTGTGCACCAGACTTAAAGTGCAGGAAGTTAAAAGATGTCTGATTCAGGGCACATGCATTAAAATGATAAAAACTAAATGAGCTTAAACAAACTCAACATGGACTTCACAAAGTTACAATTATAGTAATAAATACAATAAACTCATAGAAAAGCCTTCCGAAACATTATTTGATTATTTGTTTCACATTACAAAGTAAATCTAATCTTGTATGACGTCCTTTCAACATGCTGTAAAATTACTCTAGTTTATGTGCTAATGTCACATTTTAACAAGTCTTCATACCTGCAAACTCAGAAGGGATGGAAAAGGTGACAAAACTTTAGTGGGAAGATTTTGTGATTTTCAACATGTAAATTAATCATTCTGGTACGCTCCGATTTTTGCATAAATTGCATGCCCTATGACTTATACACCGAAGCGACATATTTATGGATTTATTCTCATTTATAAACCAATTTTTGACTGTTATGATCGTTTTCATTCATTCTGACAGAAAATATTGAACACTACTATTTTCAGCAGCTAGGTGGCACTCGAGTAGTATGGCATGCCATTGTGTCATGTAATAGATTAAGGGGCTATTAATGACACAATCGGCTTGCTGTAGACTGCCACCTTAGTCCAGCTCGTCAAATCAGATTTCGCTGCGCCGCCCCGGCGAAATGCAGCTGATTTGACCATTGAAGTGCATTTTGTTTAGTAAAAGTTCAACTGAGACACATCTTTACAATAATGTTGAGCAAACAAATGATTGTTTTTAGGTGATTATCTTGTTAAATTTTGATTTAGCAGCGTTCCTCCTTCCTGATTTCCTCCCTCTGCGCGCTCCCCGAGCACCGAGGCAGCGAATACTTTTGTAACGCAGCTGATTTGACGTCAAAGTGAATTTATTAAGGAAAAATTAAACTGAGACACCTTTTATTATAGTTTTGAGCAAACAAATGATTGTTTTTAAGTGTTAATCTTGTTAAATTCTTGTTACGCGCATGCTTCCGTGGCCACCATTTGGCATCCAATTGATTTTTGGCACAACACCGTCCCACATTTCCAGGTTGTCAGTGGTGACGCATAAAAGATGCGACCAGTACGGCGATGCAATGTATTTATGATTTTACCCACTTTATTAGACATATTTGGACTGATGCCACTTATAAGGCGATGCGACGTGTACGGCGGAAAATACGGTACTAGCACATCCTGATGTAACGAGGACACACAGGAAAGATGGCGTCAACCAAAAAATAAACAAGCAACAACAGCAGCAAGACAACCAGAGAAACAAACACAGCAGAGCATTTAGCTGATAGCAAAAACTCATTTAAATGTTTTGGCCTGGACAAGACTTTGCCCCCCCACCCATGTGCCTCTCTTGCTCCACCACTTCTGCCCTATTTATTGCCGTATTGATCTGCCTGAGCAGATGTTCTTATCATTGTAACAAAACACTGATGTGTCGTGTTTTATTGGCACTAACGTTACGTGTTCGTTTTCATTTCTCTCATCTTATGACGATGACGTGTTATTATCGGACAGCAATACGGATGGAGTAGAGATGGCCTTCCCAAAATTATTCATATTGAACTGAGTGACATCGCAGGCTAACGTTAACGCACAATTCACTGAGGTCAGCTGACATCTTGGCTAGCATTACATGCTGACAAGCTTTTCATTACAGATAACGTCGTGGTGGAAAAGGTAACGACACATTGCTAAAGTAGGATTATTTTTTTGTCATATCAAGTTTAACTTACATAATACAGACCAACAAAGTCCATGCTCAATAATCCAGGTATACAATTCAACATTTTTTTGTCAGGTCATCTGGACAGTTTCTTTTTTGTGCTGAAACGTTTCACCATCGATCCAGAAGGCTTCATCAGTCAAGGAAACAACAAAACTGATTCCTCCCCCAACAGCTTACTCCAAAGTGGAACAAACTGGTTTGTTAATAATAATACAGACCCTTTCCAAAAAATTAGAATATCATGGAAAAGTTGTTTAACTTCCATAATTCCATTAAAAAAGTTGATCTTTAATAGACGATAGATTCAGGGCCCACAATTTAAACAATTTCAAGTATTTATTTGTTTATTTTTACATAATTTGGGCTTCCAACTCATGAAACCCACAAAAACAGGATTTCAAAAAATTAGAATAATGAGAAGAAATCAGCCCACGCTTCTCAGTTTTTGCAGGAAAAAATAAATAAATTAGGATCACAACAATTCAATCAAAATATGGTACTTTCAAAACGATATGTTAATCTTCAATACTTGGTTGGGAATCTCTTTGTCTTAAGTTGTTTTCACACCAGATAGTCCGGTAGACTCGGTTCGGTTCGGGACCAATATTCATGAGCCTTTGTTTACATTTGAGCTGGTGCGTTTGCATTCACACTGCACTGTGCAGTCGAGTCAACCTGTTGAACCAACATGTTGAAGCAACCTGTTCCCCCGCTCGCCTGTGGGGGCGCTGCACCAAGAACTACTGAAAGAAACAACACAAAAACCTCTGAAGACACGTCTTCTTCTTCTTCTTCTGTAAATAAAAATAAAAACGAAGTGGCATCAAGTTTTAGCAGTTTTAGGAGTTATATTTTGTCATTTTTCAAAAATGGACTTAGCATGAGCAGAAGATGAGACAGAAGACCATGGAGAATATTGTTTTTCCACACAAGTCAGCTGACGGCTCCATATAAGGTCAGAGCAATGCGTGTTTGTTTGTCCTGCGGAGCGGAGCTCGGTCTGTTTACATTCACACTGTACTCGAACCGCGCTGGAGTTCTCTTCTACCGGACCGAGACCTAGGTTTTAGCCCGGGCCAGAGTTCGCCTTTTTGTTCCGTGACAGAGTTCGATGGCGCGTTCACACCTCCCTAAATGAGCCCGACTTTCTAGGAAAATGAGCTAGAGTTCGATTAAAGCGGACTAAACAGGGCTGGTGTGAATGCACCCTCGATGTGACGTAGCATTGACTGGGAGTTATGGAAGCCCAGATTTCCTTGATGCTGTCAGATCTTCTTTGTTCTGGGCTCTGGTGCTCCTCATGTTCCTCTTGAGAACACACCATAAATTCTCAACGGGGTTTAGGTCCGGCCAGTTGCAGACCAGTCAAGCACTGTGACATCAAACCAGGTTTTGGTGCTTCTGGCAGCACGGGCAGGGACCAGGTCCTGCTGGAAGATGAAATCTGCATCTCCATACAGATCCTCAGCAGAAGGAATCATCAAGTCCTCTAAAACATCCTGGTAGACTGGTGCGGTGACCTTGGATTTAAGAAAGCAGAGTTTACAAACACCTGCACCGGACATTGCACCCAGATCATGACTGACTTGATATTTCACACTGGACCTCAACCAGTATGGGTTCTGTTCCTCACCTTATTCCTCCAAACCCTTGGACCTTGATTTCTGAATGAAAGGCACACTTTACCATCACTGGAACCGAGGAATCCGACAGTTGTAGTCCATCTCCCGGATGCTTCTGAATGTGGTGGTTTTTGAAGCTGTGACTCCGCCTCATTCCACTCTTTCTGGATCTCTGACAGATTCTGGAATCTTCTCTGTTTGATAATCCACTGAAGCCCACGGTCATCTCGTTTACTGGTGCATCTTCTCCTGCCACATGTTGCTCTTCCACTAGACTTTCCATTGATATGCTTGGACACAGCGCTCTGCGAACAGCCAGCCTATGGAGGGTATCAATGATGGTCTTCTGGCCAGTTATGTCTGCAGTCTTCACCATATTGAACCGAACTGAGACAAATGAACCAAACTGAAGCAATTTAAATGACACCTGGGGAAACCTGTGCAGGTGCTTTGAGTTTAGTAGAAGATTAGTGTGTCACACTCAGTTTAAAACATTCATGTCCTGCAACATTTGGCCTGATTTCTCCACAGTATTCTAATTTTTTGAAATCCTGTTTTTGTGGGTTTCATGAGCTAGAAGCCCAATTTATGTAAAAATAAACAAATAAATACTTGAAGTTGTTTAAATTGTGGGCCCTGGATCCATTATCTATTAAATATTAACTTTTTGAATGGGATTATGGAAGTTAAACAACTTTTCCATGATATTCTAATTGTTTGGAAAGGGTCTGTATGTTATATTGTTGGCAGATAATGAGACTTACCTCAAAACTAACAGTGTCCAACATTAGAAGTGACTAGTTGTAACCTAGACCAGTTTCCTTCGTCCATGGGAAAGACTTCCCCATCGTCTGTCTTGATTGTGATTGGTCAAACGAGTCACGTTCCACCAAAGATGTTCTATTGTAGACAGAAACCTTGTTGTTTCTTAGTCAAGTCAACGGGAAATGATGCATCTACCATGCCTGACACCCCCGAAAAAAAAAACTCCTGATCTAGACGATTCATGAAAATGTCATTTTGTTTGAAATCGGCGATTTTCGCTGAAAAGTGACAAGTTTGCATGTATGATAATAACTTACTTGCTTTGAGTTTTATGTTGCATCATCAACATATTACAATGTAAACATGTTTTTTTTAATGGTTTGATGTCTGCCTATATGAGATTTAAACATTTTTTTCTTCCAAATAAACTTTGGACACAATTTTGCAGGAATGTCTTTACGTTGTGGACGCTCTGAACCTGCCCACGCCCGACTCTCAGTACCTGCTGGAGCTCATCAGACAGCGACACTGGGGCGAGTCCGTGTTGATAGTTGATGTGTGAGTATCTGCATCAGGGCAAATCATCATCCAGCGTGAAAACTCTAAACCTGACCGGTTTCTCTGTCACTGTTATTTGCTTTTAGGGGTGAGGAGTTCCCTGAAAACATCCTGCTGGCCACAGAAAAATTAAAGACTGTTAACATCATTCCAGCCATCGGTGAGTTAACGCTCGAGCGTTTTTGTTTGCTCAAATGCAACTGAGGCTTCTTGATAGTTTTTATTACTATTCTTGTCCATATAATTAATCCTACATACATACATTCATATTTTAGGTTTAATTCATGATTTTCCTCTGAAGTTTAACATTTAAACATTTTAAACTTTTTTTTACCTGTATTAGTTTTTATAGTCTGAGCCTGTAGGAGTCATTCCAGTGGCTATTCTGACAGGGCCTAGACCAAGACCAGCTTCTGCTGTCATAATACACCTCAACCTCGAAAACTTTATTTCAATCCATAAAAATTTTACTTTTAAAAATATTTACACTGCTAGGTGGCATGAGTGCAGTGGTTAGAGCTGTCGCCTCACAGAAAGAAGGTTACAGGTTTGCCTCCATAGAAACGTTGGTTACCTACTGTAACCCCAGATTCTGAGTATAGGCGCAGCCCTTTAAGGCTATCACTAGTGGGTTAAAGGCGAAGCAGGATGTAGTCTATGCTTCACTGGGTCCATTCAGACAGAACATGAAGCACCTGCTTGCACAAAAAACATTTCATCACTCAGCCTTCTGTGTGCGTAATTACAAAACCCTCCACTCTGGAGATGGAGGCGAAGGTGGAGACGGATGTCTTCAGCTTGCTGGGTCCAGCTGCAACCTCGTTCCAGTGTGATGTCACAGCTGGACAGCGAGGCCAGATGGGGTCATGGTGATGAGCCGGGGTGGAGCCAAACCATCCCGCCCGATCATCCGATCAGGGCGGAGGGAGGCAAGGGACAGAAAGTCCCTTTGTGTTGGCAGCCTCCTGGATTATGCCGGACAGCTCCGAGAGGAGAGCGAAGACGACTGGGAGCGGTGTGGTCGCCGACGTGGGAAGACCCGAGGTGGCTGAGCATTCGCTCGGCCGCTCTTCTTCCGTCACTACGCTCTCCAGGAGGGAAGGGGCAGCTCCGCATCACCTTTCTCGGAGGAATCATTCGATTCACTGCGTGACTCTGCGTCAAAGAAGGCGGTGGCGTCGTCCAGCGAGTAGCGGCCCTCCACGAAAAAACACTCCTCGGCGCTTACGTTGAACAAGGCTGCTCGTCTCTGCTTCTCCTCGGGGAGGAAGAGCTCACCGGGACGGCAGGAGGTTGGCGTGGCGGAGACCCAGGCATTCTTAGCAAAGGTTGTGCCGGTCAAAGCTGGACAACTTTTCCTTCTTCGTTCTTCTGACAGTGCTAGCTAGCTGGCTGAAGAAAAAATGGGAGTTGATTACCCGGTTTCACTGTAATTTATACGGACCGGGGGTGAGGCCCACACAGTAGGTGGGCGTGGACTAAAGTTTTCAGTGCTGCGTGAAGGGATAAACCCACTAGCGATAGCCTGTGTACATAATTTCACTCCACCACATGTACCACATGAGGTGCGAATGACAAAGAAACTCTGACTCTGACTTAAAGGGCAAAGCCTATACGAAATAGAACTGAAGCAAAAGTGATGTGGTGAGAAAACCTGTGTACTGCGGTCCATCCGTCTTCTTGCCTCTTCTTCTCTGGGACGCATTGAGCTGGTACCCATCTTTAACAGTCTCTGTACGAGATGCGAGGGACATGGACAGGTCTCCAGTCCGTCACAGGGACACGTAGGGACAACCAGTCACTCTCACCTAGGTACAATTTAGTTACCAGTTAACCCAACGTGCATGTTTTGGACCTGCGGGAGGAAAATAAGAGTTCCCCAAGAAAACATGCAAACTCCACCCAGGAAGACCAGGAGATGAACCTGTGACCTTCTTGCTGTGAGGCCACAGATCTAACCACTGCGCTGGTGTGTCGCTTCCATGCAACAGTATTTTATTGACCTAAAAAAACTGAAACATCAACAGTTACAAGAGATGATGTGGACATCAGGGCTGAACCACTGAATCATGAGGTGCTTAAAGATGCTCACTGGTCATGTCTAATCGTATGTGACATGGGTAAATGCTGGTGAAACGACTCGTTCTTCAGTATTAATAACCGTCTGATGTTAGATTTATAAAATAAGCAGACTGGAGTTATTTGAAGATGTCAGGAATCCGTTTTGGAGCCGACCACACTGAGTAGCTGCCAACTGTTCTGAGAAAAGTGTTTGATATTCCAGTGTTTGTCTACTGTCTACAGCAGGTAAGATAGTGACTGTTGTTGTCTTCTCCGTCAGGTCTGAACGTGCACAGCATGCTGAAGCACGAAGCGCTTGTCCTCACCCTGGAAACGGTGAAGTTCTTGGAGGACAAACTTCTTTGGCACAACCAGCGCTTCTCTTCTCTCTATCCGTTCAAACTGCCCTACTCTGACTTACCGTGGCAGAAATGATCATCGGACGCTTTCAAACATTTTGCTTTATTGTGTAACAATAAAAAAGTCATACTTGAAAAAATAAAAAAATCATTCAAAGTTAAAAACGTGCAGTACTGAATGCCTAAACCTGATGATTAAATCTGTGTGGGAGGAGACCGTTGGCCAAATCGTTCCTGATCTGCCAGCGAAGGGCCGAGCGCTTCTTCTCCGTCGGCACGGTGTAGGTGTTGGGCACGTAAACTCTTCGAGGTTTAGGCTGCAACGCAAAACAAGACTTTATATCAGACACTGAACACCTGGTCCAGGACCTGGACTCACACAAGCAGCCACGCTGACATTATTCAGGTTGTTTGGGTGTTTTCAAGGAGCTGCTGAGTCTCATCGATAGAACTTCAGATGTTAACGAGTAGAAATCTCCAAAAAACTTGTTTTTTAAGTCCTGATGTATGCTCAACATCTGGACGCATTTTTCTTGGTTGAGAAGTTTTGTCTTTTATCTGAAAGACTTCTTCAGTCTGAGGTAGGGGTGGGCGATACGGTTCAAATATGTGATATTTCAGAGCATTCTGATAATGATAAATTTTGTGATATAACCAAAAAAATAATAATTTGACAAAATTAACTTCACAAGTTGCTTTGCAGTATTATATAAAAACTAAACATTTTTACTGAAATTACTTTATTTAGTAAAGTATTCAGTCTCCAAGTATAAAAATAAAAAAGATCCTTCTGTTATTTAGATTAAAACGTCTGCACAAATAGATCAATAAATCCACAAAAACTAAAGTGCAGGTGCAGTTTCCCAAAACAACTAAATAAATTAAAGCTTAAGTTCTGTTGAGCATAAATGTAACATGCAACAAAATATGTTTCCTTTAAATGAGCTATAACTTCCAGAAGTGGTAACAAGGTGATCATCTGCCCCTGAAGCTTGTGGAGTTTCAGCTTCCTCTGTTCCTGCAGGAAAGATCCATTTCTCTGATGCTCCGCCTCTGATCACATGACTTTGTTCCTGCTCCGTGGACTGTGGATCTCAAGAGACATACCTGAGCTGCGTGTGTTTGTACCAGCAGTTTAGAGTGGTGGTGGTGGTGGGGGGGGGACCCAGCCGAGCTGCGCCCGCACCGGCAGCCCAGAGCGGAGTGGGGGGAGAGAGAAAAGCAGAGCTGCACGTTTTGTTTTTAGCATTTTAGGAAGCTAGTACTGTGCGCAGCTAATTAGTGTTACGCCAGTACCGACAGGTGGATCACTATGAAGTCTTTTGGATGAAAGACGAAATGTTTCAACCAAGAAAAATCCATCCAGATGAAACAGACTTGTTTTTTTAAGGTAAAACAAAATAAAACGTGAAGGTTTAGTGGAGTTTGAATCCATGACCGTCAGGGAGGAATGAGCTCCGTCTGTCAGTGAACACGTTTCATCACTGCGTCCACAAAGTTCAAACTCTGCAGAGCAAAGCACGGCCCAGGTTCATTTAACACTGACCCGTAAAATGAAAGTGTTCTGCAATCTGGACATTAACAAAGCTAAAAGTTCTGTTCGACCCACTGTCCTGAACTGTGACTCCCTGACAACATTAATTATGAACCGACCGTACAACGGACGGTCCAGAGCTGTTGGACGACTGGCATCCGGGTCAAAATGAGTGTTTGTTGTCACAACTAGTTACTGGACTCCCCACTTCTGCAAACTTGTTTTAAAAGATGCAAACAGCAGTAAACCCATTTCAAACCAAGAACTTCTTCAACTCAACGTTAAATGATTCATTAATCACAGCAGACTGCTTATATTTTAAATAACATCCAACTTTTCTTGCCTGCCTGACAACTCCTTTGACTAGTTGCTCATTTAATATCCAGAGATTAAAGTCTTAAGATTAAAAAAATAAATATTCTCAAGTTTCCTTTAAATATCAGCTCAGATCTATTAGAACCGTTGCAACGTCCAGTTTGACATGTTTCACGGTCCAAATAGACCCAGTCTGCGTGACAGAAGGGCCAAACTGAACCACTCAAGAATATTCAAGGTTTTTAAATTAAACTGCAAAGCACATCGGTACAAACTTCCTTAAAGGAAAATAAAAACAAATCTAAGAACTGTAAAAAGAGCAAAACGTGGAGAAATACTCACAGGAGGAGGCTGATATGCGAGTCGTTCCTGAGAGCAATCGGACAGAATACGACATTAAATCATGTTTAAAATGTTGCAGTTTATCCACAGCATTTAACATGTGAACTAATTAAAGCTAGAGAAATGTTATGTCACTAATGTAAAGGTCTGTCTGAAGCCAGACATGCTTCTGCACCTTGATCTCCCAGCGAAGAGCCTTCCTGTCACGCTCCCCAGGGAGTTTAAACATGTCCCAGATCTGCTTGTACTGGAAGTATCTGCAGACAAAGAAAAGTTCTGTTCAAACAAATGGATGAACTGAAAAACCAACAATGACGTCAAAGCACCACTAGGTGTCACAATAGAGCAACAGACTTTAGGACTAAAGTAAAGAGAGACTAAAACTAGTGAACCCATTTATCAGGCCTTTAAACATCTTCTCTGTGTAAATTAATTTTTACCATTAATGGTTTGAAAATGTGGCAATTAAAATACAGATGGTGGTAGTAGAGCAGAGCTCCAACCACTGATCCAGCGTAACACACCAGTTAGATTCGACTTGTTTCATGACTTGTTTCAGTCTTCTTGACCTCAGACTAAGTTCACTCATTACCGATAAGGATCACTACTTCTGTGGGTACCATAGTACATTTCACATCCTGCCACTTCCCAAGAACTTCATTCCAGATGTTGGCAAATCTCATGAGAAGTATTGCGCTTACTTGGCCACTGGATCAGTCTTCTTTATAGTCGGTTGACTCATCACTGGTCGGATGACTGAAACAAAGTCATTTGGTTGATTAGAAACATGTTTAAGTGACGAGATAAACGATATTTCTGTTAGAGGAGTGTAATGCATAATAAATTATCTTCTGAAAATAAAAATATGCATATTTTAAATATTAAGGTAGCAAAGCTTGGGTCTTTCGCACAGTCCCAACCCTGACAGAGTTTGGATGTTGTGTAAAAAATAAATATAAAATAGAATACTATGATTTGCAAATCTAAAACTCATATTTTGGGCAGCTGTGTCTGAGTGGTTAGAGTCCTCCAATGCAAGAGTTGGGGGTTCAATTCCACCAGCAGTCACATGCTGAAGTGCCCCTGGGCAAGACAGTGAACCCTTCATAGCCTCCGATGTGTGTCCCATCAGTGTATGAATGTGATAAAGCTCTGATTAGTCTTTGTATAAATCTAGTGGAGTGCTGTATGAATGGGTAAATGAGGCACAGATTGTTGTAAAGAGCTTTGAGTATCTTGATAAGAGAGAAAGGAGCTACAGTGAGGAAAACAAGTATTTGAACAGCCTGCGACTTTGCAAGTTCTCCCACTTAGAAATCATGGAGGGGTCTGAAATGTTCATCTTAGGTGCATGTCCACTGTGAGAGACATGATCTAAAAAATGATTAAATCAGCACACGTCCAGGTCCGTCTTAAGTTTGCCCATGACCATTTGGATGATCCAGAGGAGTCATGGGAGAAAGTTCTGTGGTCACATGAGACCAAAATAGAACTTTTTGGTCTTAATTCCACTCGACGTGTTTGGAGGACGAAGAATGATGAGTACCATCCCAAGAACACCATCCCTACTGTGAAGCATGGGGGTGGAAGCATCATGCTTTGGGGGTGTTTTTCTGCACATGGGACAGGACGACTGCACTGTATTAAGGAGAGGATGACCGGGGCCATGTACTGAGAGATTTTGGGGAACAACCTCCTTCCCTCAGTTAGAGCATTGAAGATGAGTCATGGCTGGTTCTTCCAACATCACAATGACCCAAAGCACACAGCCAGGAGAACCAAGGAGTGGCTCTGTAAGAACATATCAAGGTTCTGGAGTGGAAATGGACTGAAAATGGTAAATGGACTGTACTTATACAGCACCTTTCTATCTTATTTCAAGATACTCAAAGTGCTTTACACTACAATCTGTGCCTCATTTACCCATTCATACAGCTCTATACTAGACCTCTACAAAGCTAATTGAACAAATCATTCTAATGAGACTAATCAGAGCTTTAGATCACTTTCATTCAGTGTGTGTGTGGACTAGCCAGTCTCCAGACCTAAACCCTGGATTACCCCCCAGTAACACACAAAGTCGCAGGGTGTTCAAATACGTTTTTCCTCACTGTATATAAGTACAGTCCATTTACCATATTTTATTCACAATAAATTATTCACAACAGCAGTCTGGTACATTATATTCACCTAATTAAACAAAACTGCAGTGGATTTTTACAGGTTCGAATCTAAAACTGAACTCTGTGACGGCACATCGTTATTTTATATTTCTCTCATATCGAGTCTGTTAAGCTCAGACCAGAAATAATTATTTAAAAAAAGACAAAGGGCTCTGAACTACTTGAATGTCAACAATAACAGAGTTCAGATGCATGAATATATTGTAATTTTTAAGGCAACATCTGCAGATCTGTCACTTTGCGTTGCTCCCCACAGTGGGACACGGCTGTGTGTGTGTCTGCAGACACGGTGGGTCACTGCAATGCAGTAACATTTTGGGGTGCACGTTTACACATTTCATTGCTGGGGTGGGTGCTCTCAGAGTAGTCCACCCACAATAACTCAGGATGAATGTTAGTGGTGGGTCTGAACAGTGAATGGAGACAACACGTACAAAAAACGGACATGTTGTGTAGAAACTCTTGGGTTTCTGACGACTTACAGGATTTGGGCTTGGGTCTAACATCACCATCACGTTGAGATTGAGTCTGAAAGAAAACAAAAGGTTAGTGCCTCATAAAGCAAGACAGAAACTCTTAACCGCTAGCTTTACGTTACCCACCATGCCTCTGACGTAGTACTCAAAGGCACTCAATGAGACGCCATCAGTGTCGAAGCTCTGCGTCTCACTCTGACCAGTAACATCTTCACTCTCTGTCTCAAAGTCCTGAGCTGCTGTGGATAAGTCCAGTTCTGCCATTTGCTCTTCCAAACAGCTCGCTACATCTACAAACATACACCATGTCAATTTGTTTCTATAGCACTTAACAACAACAAAAGCTGAAAAAAGTGATTTACAGTTAAATCAGATTAAAAAGATCTCCTGATGCATGCTCAATAATCCAGGTAGAAAAATCCAAAAAAGTTCAATCTGGTCCTCTGGACATTCAAAAAAACAAAAAAAACAAAACAAAGCAAAAAAATCTAGAAACGTTTTGTCTCTCATCCGAGAGACTTCCTCAGTCTGAGGTGCTGTTTTCAGCTCAGTCTCTTAAATAGCACATTCTCAGGGTGGATCAACCAGTTTGCTGCTGACAACCAAAACCAGCTACTCACATGCTCAAGAAGGACCATCAGCCTAACAATGGATCATTAGCACCTGATGGCTGTTTACTGTTCACAGAGGGCTGAGTGATACTAGCAATCACAGCATTGTAAGAGGGGGACAGTTGAACCCGGAGGCCTCCACCCCTGTTTAATGATGGACGATTTCTTTTCACAAAGATGGCCTCCTTTACTCCTCTCTCAAACCATCGTTCCTCTCTGTCCAGGATGTG